CAAACTCTTTGACTGCCACTCACCTCCACGTAGGCTGCCCGTGGCTAAACCTCTCGGCTTTGTGACAAGATGTTTCAGCTGCACGTCTGACTCCCAGCGCCCACCCCATCATTTCACCCTTTCAGCGCACACTTAAGATGTTTCAGGTTAATTATAGAAGTGCAGCAGCACATGAGTGAGTGAGAGAGACTCGCAGGGAGATGATAAGAGCCTGCAATTATGTGAAGGGTTTAAATGCTGAGGAGACAAGGAATATATAAGGCATGAAACATGGGCTAGTGCTGGGGTGGATGAGACATAACTAAGAAAAGGGAACACCCAGTGAATTCTCTGGAAATTTTACCAGATAATGTAATTATTAAACTGGGAGACTCTTCTGGGAGAAAGATTTCTCACTTGGAAGGTTCAAGGCTTCAATAGTTTCATAGGGAATAATTTCAGATTTGTGGTGACTGCAGAACTGTCTTCTCTGGCTTCTCCTGGTATGCCTGCATTCACAGGGAGATTCATAACTGCACAGACATTGATAACCACACATGGCTCCTTCGTGACAGTGACTCCTTCATGACAGTGATTTTCATCATATATTGCATGTTTGGCATTCTTATCTCATCAGGACTTCTGCCCATCAACAAGACTCTGCTGCAATGCTGCTTATATTTCTAAAGACCATATAGCTCCAAACAGCTGTTGTGAGACAAAAGAGACAAAAGAAAACCTGTCAGAATGGCATTTGCTTCTTATTCTTGAAAATGTTAAGTTTCTTTCAAAGACTACACTGGCCTGAGGCTAAAGAGAGGTAACATTTGGCTCTGTGCTAGGACAGATTTTATATGTCAACATCCATTGGATTCAGAAAGAGCAGATTTTAAGTGAGAAGTTGCTGCAGAATCTGATAGGTCAGGATATACTGTATATAAGATTGTTTGGTATATTATGAAAAATTTATTGATTTTATTGGGAAATTTACAGAAAAAAAAAAATGAACTGAAAGGCTGAGTTAAAAATACAGAGAGGACCCGATTCTACACATTTGCAATTTCTGAATGCATTGCTAAATACTGTAAATAATCTGAAGGCTGTTGTAATAAGTGTTCTAGGCTTTAAAGCTTTTAAAGAATCATGGCTATATTTTTAAGCTGTTGTATTTTTTTTTTAGTCAAAAGCTGAATAGCAATTGTGAGGATTTCTAGGCCTCATAAGATCACAATGTGATGTTTTTGTTCACATTTTTATCATGCAGAGGTAAGGACTCATGTTCTCATTTTGGCTGCAGCCAAAACAGTGTCTTGTTGGTTGAACAACACACCCAGTATTGCCCATATGCATGTGTCTCCTATATATATCTATATATATATATACACATCTCTATATATATATGTACACAGACATAAATGTATTTAATTTTTCTCTCCTATTAATAATCACACAGATTGAGGCTTCATGCTCCTGTGTGTTCAGGCTGTTGTAGGGACATGCAGGTCACGTCCATGCAGATCTGCGTGCTCTCCAGCACCCTGCACTGCCTGTGTTTCCCCTGTCCCTGGGGTCACTCCCAACAGCCAAGTCATGAGAAATGTACACAGCATGTGGGAGCCTGGTCAGCCAGAGCTGCTGGAGTGTTATTCCTGTAGATGACATTGCATAACATACCTCAGTAGGTTTTTTTCTTCTCTGGTTTGCTCAAGTCTGTGATGACACTTTATTGCAGAAAGCAGAATAATTTTGGCCCAAGGAATAACTTTAGCTGGGCAATTTTCAAGCAGCTACAAGGAAGGAAATGATATTTTTGAATTATGTATGTTGTGTGGTGCCCTTTTCATTTGACCTTGCAATATATGGGAGTGAGTTGGTGTGTGGACTGATGAGTTCTCAAACGGACCAGGATGCTAACTGTGAGTCCTGCTGGATTAGAAATGTAAAACTTGAGGAGATAGTGCAGAGAACAAAAATTTAGTTTGGCAGTAAACAAGAAAATACAAACTGTCTCATAGATTTTTCAGTGAGAGCTGGCTCTGTGTCAGTTTCAGGAGAGTCTGTCCCTAGCCAGAGGGAATGTAGGATGTGTCAGAGAGGGTCTGATTGGGGAGGAATTCAATGCAGCTATCAGCAGTGGACTTCTATGTAAATACTGCAACACCTCTGAACCAAGCAACAGCTGAGATAACACTGTAAACTAATCTTAGTGCTGGCAAAGCTGGTCAATCCCTCACATTATATGGTTTCTGTAGAAAAGATGTGCTAGGGAAAAAAAATAAGCAGATTTAAACTATATATGGCAACTTACCATTGGGTAAAATATGCTGACTTTTTAAAATTGAAAGCAGCATATGGTGATTTTTTTTCTTTGAAAAATTGCTCTGTGCCAGGGTGTATATGCTTAGAAATCCTTGCATCTGTATGAATTCTTGTATAAACAGGCATCACTATCACCAAAGCATTTCCAATTGTCTGTTACGTGGGCTTGATCAATTTAGATAAACGTATTCTTTAGATAAACAAATTCTCAGGGTCTTTATGCCACGAATATTGATTTTGGTTGATTTTCCATCAAGACAAAGCAAACAAAGAGCCAAAGCTTGTCCAGAGCAGAGGCATTGAATCACAGTGTTTTGCTGCTTTGACCTTTTGAGGTCACTGCATTTCAGAGTCCTACACAGCCTTTCTTAGGTAGCTAAGAAAAATAAAAAAGCAATATATAAATACATACACACACAGATAAATATATGCATATAAAATATATATGGGCATATATATTTATATATACTGATGTATTAAATAAACATACAAAACTCTGTACAAAAATGGTGTCTCACCTGGAACAGGTTCTCTTTCCTTGCAGCACTTAAATAAAAGCAGGAGCTTATCCAAGAACTTTGCTGCTACCGTCTCTTTCAGAGCCGTGATTGTAATTTGGCACAAACCCAAGATAAACTGGGGTTGGGGTGGAGCTAACCACCTCATTAATTGTGCTAGAAAGAAGGAAACTCATGCCACAATCTCTGATTTCAGAAGAAATCGAAGTCTGGGGGTCTCTGATGCCCCCTTTGGATATTGTCTAGAAACAAATAGGGATTTCCAGTTGTTTGTGCTTTGTCAGAGCTAAACCACCATTGAGATTGCTCTTCCCTGAACACTTCTCAAAGCCCCCAGACTTCAGGTTGTGTAGCATTCACAAGCTCTTTCCTTCCACATAATTTAAGATGTATACATCCATGTGATGTCTGCCAGCCTTTGTATGGCATCTTATAAACTGGACCTGTGTTTAGGCAGCTGATCCACTTGAGTGTTGCTCTCTTGGCTTTGAATCTCACCATCCCCTCCTGTCCCAAACCTCAATTCTCCCTGCTGCATCCCAGCATTGTTTCACAGGCAGACACGGGGCACTTTACAAGATGAGCTCCTGGAGGACACTGAGGTCCACATTATAATGGGTTTCTCTGGGACATGAGTTGACAATCTCTGCTTTCACATACCAGGCCAAACCCACTCGAGGGATGCCTCTCCAGTCTTTCTATTTTTAACAAATAAAAAAAAGTCCTGAAGACACACGGATTTTCAAGGTTCCACCGCTGCAACAAATTATCAATGTGGATGTTTCAACAACTGAGCAGGAAAACAACTGTCACATTACATCAATACCATAGCTGGGTTTTGTCCAAGCTATTTCCATATCTCGTCCTCTGCCCTAGACATATCACTATCCCTTACTGATCTGGTGTGCATTAAAAGAGCAAAGATGAGGAGTTTAAGTATATGCATATTAACATAAGTGAGCACATCCTATTTTGCACTATAGACGTCAGCCAAAAGCAGAGAAAAGGGTGATTTTTACAGCATGTGCTCATCAAAGTTTAAAAGAAATTGAGTGTGCACTGCTCCTTCCTAAGGCAACACAGGACAGCAGATGCCGCCCCCACGCAAGAGAGGAGCCTCAGTTGTTGGCACCGAAGTAACCTCGTTGATTAAACAGAAACTCGACTGGCCTTTTATTTTCGGCGGAAAAATGAAAAGCCGGGGAGAGAGCGCCCGTGCGGCTTCCCTCGCACCCTCCGCCAAGCCCGAGCATCGCGAGTTGGCGGCGCCGCACCTGGCCGGGCCCGGGCGGCTGCTGACCGCGGGGGCCGAACGGGGCTGCGGCCCCTTCCCGGCCCCTGCCCGGCCCCTCGCAGCCCCTGCCCGCCGGCGCTGACCCCCGGGGGCTGCGCTGGGCTCCCTATTTGGCCATGCGGCGGCCGGGGCCGCGCTGCCCCGCGCCTGCCTTACATGGGCCGGGCGGCCGGGGCTGGCCCGGCTCCATTCATGGCTGCGCGGCCGCTCGGGGCCGCTGCAGCGACCAAATAAGGAGAAGGTGGCTGCCCCGGCCCGCCGGGCCCCGCACCGCGCTGCCCCTCGGGGGGTATAAATCGGGGCGTCTCCGCCGAGCCAGCAGCCCGGGTCTCCTCCGCTGCGCCCCCGCCGCCGGTGCTGGTCTGGTGAGTAGCGCAGCGCCGAGGGGCGGGCCGGGAGCCTTTGGGCGGGACGGGACGGGATGGAGCACACGGGAAGGATGGAGTACACGGGAGGGATGGAGTACCGGGAGGGATGGACGGGAGGCACCGCCGTGCAGGCGCGGCCGGGGCCGGGGCCGTGCAGCTCCCGGCTGGCGCTGCTCCTGCCGGGGACACCGCCCGCGACGCGCTCCGGGCCGGACACATCTCTGCGATTTAAAAAGCTTTCCCTCCCTTCCCGATCTGCGGCCAGAGGGATCCTCTAATGACGCCCTCATTGAGCATTTTGCAAGCTGGGGCGGCTGTTAAAGCGCGGAGAAGAAGGCGGCTGACCGATCCCGTTTAGCGCCGTGGAGCATCCTCCGGGACAGCTCGAATTTCCCGCTCCGCTCCCGCCGCAGCGAGCCGGCCGTGCTCCCGGGATGGCGGGCGGGAGGGCGCGCAGGGGCTGCCCGCGGGGCTCTGAGCCGGCCGCCCTGCTGTTTTCCAGGTTCGTGCTTCCTCCCGAAGATGTGTGACGACGAGGAAACCACCGCGCTGGTGTGCGACAATGGCTCGGGGCTGGTCAAGGCGGGCTTTGCCGGGGACGATGCCCCCAGGGCCGTTTTCCCGTCCATCGTCGGTCGCCCGAGGCACCAGGTAAATTCAGAGGCAGGACCGAGGCAGGACACTCCATAAAAATGGGTTTTTTAATGAAAACGTTTACAATTTGTACTTTTTTTTTTTTTTTTTTTTTTTTTTTTTTTTAATCCTGGATAAATTACTGCTATGATTGCAAAGTAATATGAAGTATCTGATCAGTAGAATGCTAGTTTCCCTCTGTATTGTCCTGTTTACAAACTCCTTTTCCTGCTCATGATATTGTGCAGTTTACTTTCAGTCAAATTTTTGAAAATCAGAAAGAAACAAATAAGAAAAAAGAATATGAATATAAGAGGTGTATTATAAATGCGGGGAAATCTATTAATCTCATGGAAGGAAAAAAAAGATTTTATGAGAACACCTCAGATTCTGTTGACTTAATATTTTAATAATGTTAAATTTATTTTCCCAAACAGCCTTTCAGGGGTGTGACTGCTAGTTCCTTTCTTGAAAATAAGAGAGTTAGAATTGAAGGATCATAGAATATCTTGAGTTGGACGGGACCAACAAGAATTATCAAGTCCAGTTCCTGGTCCTACATGGGACAGCCCTGGGAGTAACACTATGTGCCTCAGACAATTGCCCAAATTCTGCTTGAATCCTGTCAGGGCTGGTGCTGTGACTCCTTCCCTGGGGAGCCTGTTCAGTGCCCAGTCACCCTCTGGGTGAAGAACCTTTTTCTAATATCCAGCCTAAACCTCTCCTGACTCAGCCTCAGGCCAGCTGTCTGTGATGTAGTTGTTTGGGGTCTGTGATGTTGTCTTCCTCAAATAAGGCTTTTCTGTGTTTTCTTCTCTTAGGGTGTTATGGTTGGTATGGGTCAAAAAGATTCCTATGTGGGTGATGAAGCTCAGAGCAAAAGAGGTATCCTTACTTTGAAATACCCAATTGAACACGGCATCATCACCAACTGGGATGATATGGAAAAGATCTGGCACCACACTTTCTACAATGAACTCCGTGTGGCCCCTGAGGAACACCCTACTTTGCTCACAGAAGCCCCCTTGAACCCGAAAGCTAATCGTGAAAAGATGACCCAGATCATGTTTGAGACCTTCAACGTACCTGCTATGTACGTGGCAATCCAGGCTGTCCTCTCCCTGTATGCTTCTGGTCGTACAACAGGTAAAACAAACAAATAAACACCGTTTAGATTCTGTTTCCTTTCAGGAACTCTCCTTCCTTTCCATTCCAAATAGGAATACATTTGGAACACCATAACTCATTCAATTTACAGAAAAATAGGTCTTTTTGGTTTATAGCCATTAATGATAACAGTAGCATAAAAGCCAGTACAAATTAGGTCCACATTTTTCTTTCCACAGACAGACAATTTGCATTGCTTTTGGAGAGGCACCATGGCACTGGCTGTCCCACTGCTTGTTGTGGTGCGAATGAGGAGACATTCCTGTAGGGATACTGCAGTCACAAAAGTGTTACACCAGTTTAAGGGTTTAGACTGGACCAAAGATGCCCATTATCAGACCAAGACAATCACTATTGCAAATATTCTTGCTGCTCAGTATAGTAGCGGTGAAAGGCAGGTTTTATGGATTATCCTAAAATATGTGTGGAGCAACTATTCTGTGGGAAATTTCACACCCCTCACGAATGTCCAGGCAAGCAAAGGCAGAAAGAGATGGAAAGATCTTTGTGGCTGAAAAAGAATTATGCTACTTTATACTGCCTGAAAAATCCTTTATTTTGTTGTCTTTCTTGCTGCGTCCTGTGTGTAAGGGCTCTAAGCATTCGCTAGGTGACTGCAGCTGCTCTCTGACATTTCTCTCCCAGGTATTGTTCTTGACTCTGGTGATGGTGTCACCCACAATGTGCCTATCTACGAAGGGTATGCCTTGCCTCATGCCATCATGCGTCTGGATCTGGCTGGCAGGGATCTGACTGACTACCTCATGAAGATCCTCACGGAGCGTGGCTACTCCTTTGTGACAACAGGTCAGTCCTTCAGCTTTTCTCTGCTGTGAAAACCCTCACGTCTCTCTTGGCCCACCATCTTCTCTAGTGTTGTGCTTATCCAAAGCTTGATTTGATTCTCCTGTATCTACAGCGGAACGTGAGATTGTCCGTGACATCAAAGAGAAATTGTGCTATGTTGCACTGGACTTTGAGAATGAAATGGCCACTGCTGCCTCTTCCTCCTCTCTGGAAAAGAGCTATGAATTGCCTGATGGTCAAGTGATCACAATTGGTAACGAACGTTTCCGCTGCCCTGAAACCTTATTCCAGCCATCCTTCATTGGTAAGTGTTCCCAGAAAATTCTCCTTTCTGTAGGAGGTATGAATGAATCAGAAGATTTGGAAGGTGCCCTGCTCCCCTTCCTGCTTACCTAAATTTGGCACAAAGTCCGACATGAATGAGTAATAATTTAGATCATTTGTTTCCTATAAGATGGGCTTGATGTGAGCTCATCTGGTAATTAGCTGAGTTCCAGGCTCTTGCTGCAAGGTTTAGATCAAGTTTTAGGGTCCCAGTTTTTTAATGATAAAGCATACAGTTACAACACCATCATTAAGGAGTTGGACTCCATGATCTTTATGGGTCCCTTCCAGCTCAAGACATTTTATGATTCTGTGTCACTGTTGGCAAGAATAGCCTTCAGAGCTGTATTTGTAAGGCTTACACTCGAACAGTATCTATTTCCACGAAGAAGTGAAGTGTCAGAGAGGGGAAGGACAGGGAGTGAAGGTGTGTGTGTATTTATATACACTCTAATTAACATTGCCATGGTCGAGATGGTAAGCCTTGCTGGTCGTGCACGCAGCTGACGGATGCAGCAAATGTTACACTCTTGAGTCCCAAGCAGTACATGCAGTTGTTCATCAGCTGACTTCTTACTGTGGATCCAGTGTCTGCCCTTTCAGGAAGCACCTGTTAAAATTAACAAATTGGAATGCAACCTACAACCACTTGCTTCTTGTTTCTTTTTTCTTACCATCAAGCACAAATATCTTAATTCTGTGTCACGGTTATGTCTTGCCTTGATGATTCTGAGTGGTATAGACTACATTTTGAGTAGACTGAAGAAGTTACTATTATCTTCTTTAGTTCTACTTCAACTATTTTTATTGTCTTCATTTGCTGTCTTTACTATATTCAGCTAATGCTTTCAGTGAGACTGATGTAAACCAATAGTCATGTTTTATGTTCTTGATACCCTTCTTCCACTGACATTTACTAAATGAGTTTATCTCACATGTCTACTTGTTATCTTACTTGTTATATTTTGAGTCTCTTGCCTTTGCACATGCATTATGATTCTTACCTTTTTTAGCAAATAATGTTCACTTCCTAAATTAGTTTTGTAATTCTATTTTTTAATATTTTTCTGTAACACTTTATAGTCAGGAAACATTTTTACAAGAAAAAGGCCAAAGAAGTTCATGTTAACAATGATCAGGAATGCCAACATTTCATTTCATGGAGATCTCTTGTATAATTACTGGCTTACTGTCTTTTTTCCCTCAAGGTATGGAATCTGCTGGTATCCATGAAACTACCTATAACAGCATCATGAAGTGTGATATTGATATCCGCAAGGACCTCTATGCTAACAACGTCCTCTCAGGTGGTACAACAATGTACCCTGGCATCGCTGACCGCATGCAGAAAGAAATCACTGCCCTGGCTCCTAGCACTATGAAGATCAAGGTGAGGAACTTGACTCTGTGTTATAAATTGTGGATAAAGGTGGAGACAATGTCAGCTTCATTAAACTGGGATGTGGGAACAACTCAAAAATGAGATCAACATCTGATGGGCAGATGAGCAGAAATTCCATTTAATCAGAATAATTTTCTTGGTTAGAAGAAAAGAAACTATGATTACAGATTTTTAATACATTACATGTATTTTAAGAGCTGCTGAAGATCAATACCATTATAGAAATGTTCTTTACTTTCTTGAGGAAATATCTACTGGTGTGTAGCATTGCAATATGGATTCACCGTTCAGAAATGAGGATTTTGTTGCTTTTCTTTATCCTAGATCATTGCTCCTCCTGAACGCAAGTACTCTGTCTGGATTGGTGGCTCCATTCTAGCATCTCTGTCCACCTTCCAGCAAATGTGGATCAGCAAACAGGAGTATGATGAGGCTGGTCCATCCATTGTACACCGCAAGTGCTTCTAAGCACTCCCCCCTCAATTTACTTCCCACTCAGGATGACGACAATATGCTTCTTGGAGTCTTCTGGCAAACCTTCCCGAACTCTTCAGTCATTGTACAGTTTGTTTACACACCCGTGCAATTTATTTGTGCTTCTAATATTTATTGCTTTATAAATAAACGAGATCTGGGACTTGCAACCTACAAAATATTGTCTTTTGTCTTATTTTAAGTATTTTTTGGTCAGAAAAATGAGACTAACCCCTGGGATTTGGAAACTCCCATCAGACTTATGAATACTTTTACTGCGTCCATGCCCTAACTGATGTATGCGTGTTAGGTCATGGTTTTCTATTAGTAACAATTTACACTTTATAGTTTTAATTTTGAAATTTGGAACAGAAAAAGCAATATATTTCAAGGCTTATAAAGAAAAAGCCTTAGGGCTGACCCAGTAAGTGGAAAAAGTGAAAGGAAACCTCTCATACTTACTCACTCACTTTAGAAAGATTCTCTATCCCATTTATTGTAACCCAGACATTTTAATATTCATTTATTAAAAGCCAAAGCTTCTGTAAAAGAATTATGTTAATACATTTAGAATGTGATTTATAAATAATTAGCTCAATCCTAAAGAGTCATGCAATTGTTTTCCATGGGCTATAAATATTTATGACAAAACATTAATTGAAACTGACAGCTTACTCATCTTCCCCTATCTCTTCAAAGCCGGAGATAAAGAAGTGAAGTCTTTATTGTACTAATGCACAGGAATCAAACTTCTGTTGTATAAACCCAGAATTGTTACAATCACAATTATTTTCACATCATCATTCATATGTCTTAGGCAATTTTTAATCCTTAATCTTTGCTATCCTTTCTTTGCTATTTGACCCAGATACTGCAATCATAAACTGCACACTTCCTTGGCCATTTGTGTTCCTGACCAAGACCTCTTAAACTGAGCTCTGTGACTTTTTTTTCAAAAAGTAGTAGCTAGAAAGGGAAGTACAGAATGATCTGGGACATTTTCATAAAAGTAATGGAACCAGTCAGTGTCTTATATTCCACTATGTACAGACTGGAATATGCCCAAGTTTGATTTAGGAAATCAGTTAAAGTGTGTATCAAACGGTGTATGTCGTTAGCTGAGTTTCGTCAGAACTGTTTGAAAATATAAGACTTTATGCTAACTTTATAATCCAATGTTAATTAAAAAAATAATTTACACATTTGTTGGGAAACTTTTTGTTCCTCTTTGCTTTTATTTCCTTGAAAGGCATTAAAAATAGTAATTAGATGTTATCTGTAATTATATTGAACCAATTTGACTCTTTTCAAAAAGATGAAGGTATATTTAATGTTTGCCCCTAATTTATGTATCATTCGGTGGCATTTTACTGCAGGACCACTGTAATTTCCTAGCATCCCCTTGCAATCAAAACATTAAAATATTTCTAGATATTTTTGGGATTGGGCAGAAAAGTTGGATGGTATTGTCAATTGTAAAGAAATTCAAACATAAACATGACATATGAAACATTTCAGAATATGGACATTCATTTAAATATTTTATGCAAACAAAAATTAAATTTTAACAATACCAACATTTAAACATAAACATGAAATACTCATTTTAATAGTGCACACAGTATTACTGAAATGTTGCTGCAAATAGGCCTTCATATAATAAAATACAACTTTATTAACCTGTGAATCTGTTAAGGCAAAGTCAACAGCCTCCACTACTCTCAAGAACGTTCCCACCAAAGGTGAATATTCTGAAATTCATACCATGGAGAAATTTTTTGTGTCTTGAAAACATGGTAACTCTTTCAGATGTCTGACCAACACAGATGTTTGCCAATGACTTTTGCGTATCGCTATTGAGAACCATTGCACTTTTTTCACTTGACTTGCTTGCTAATTTGAAAGATTTGTCTGGGCAGAAAGGTTATCTCAGGTATTAGTGTGAATTAATAGGGTGGTACTGGACATAAATTGCAACTAATTGGAGCTTAAAATGTTAAGCAAGTATGCAAAGGGCGTGCTAAGTCAGCCGCAGTGGATGCCTGCCTTGCCTGGCTCTGCCTGACAGGTCAGGAATGGCAGGCAGCCCTTGGCACCACACCCAGCTCTGACCAGGGACTCACTGCTGGGCTCGTGGGCATCAGCAGGGAACTGAAGGAAGCCACTGACTACAGGACTGATGGAAACATTCCTTCCACAGGCATTTCGGGGCTTGTAACTCACAGTTTGCGGAACTGGATAGGAGCAGCAAGGATTGTACAAAATAGTCATGTGCTTGCATATAGGTAGGACAGGACTAAAAAAAGCATCAATGCCTTACCCTTTTCCTTTTCTTACAGAGTTTTTCCAGATGCATTAATTTTTAGCGTAATTATTCTATATGTGGCCATTGAAAATGATGTATTCCCACTCAATGCAGTGAAAACTAGAAATTCATTAATATGTGAATTATAATAACTATTTCTGGAAGCAAAGCTAGATATAAATTGATTGATTGAAAATTGAATATTCAGTCATAATCTAGGATTCAAAATACTGATAAAACAGGCTACTGTTAAACTTTGCCTTCTGTTTACATTTTACAAGAATTAATGTGTTATACATTTTGCATGCAAAATGAAGATGGTGAAATGAGATGCGGAAACTAACTGCAGAGCACCTATATGATAGGTAAAATTACTTTGGATATTTCCTTGAAAAAGGCAGATTTAAAAATATCTGTACCCAAGATTACTGGGGTAAACAATCTTCACCTCTGAAACACCTCACCTAATGAAGAAATTGACATTAATTTGAAGACTAAAGGAACCCAGCCAACCTTCACAGCTTTTGATGAGATGCCCTTTCAATGGAAGAACAAGAATAAATGTTTAGCCAAATTATAGATTCAACACACATATTTTGAAAAGCAGTGTGAATACGTGGCAAAAGGTCTGTCTGCCACTCTGAAGGGTGTCTGGTTATTTGACTTTGCAGCTCCTTGCTGCTCTGTGTGTAAAATGGAGAGGAAGGAATTCTGTGGAAGTTAGTCTGGTGTGATTTTTAAGCTACATAAAGAAGGTTTATTCAGTAGGAAGGGCTAAATAGTATTAAGAAGTACTGACATACATCAGTAAGAGCTGAGACAAAATCTTATTGCCTGTTCTGGCAGCCAGAAAAACACTGCCCACTACTTATGCTTTTGACTGAAAGGCATTGAGGTGTTACCACTGCTGGCTGACCGTCAGATCTTACAGAAATCTTTCCTTGTAGACTGATGACCATGTTGGCATTTGAGGAGTATTGACAATTGCCATCAAAACACAATGCTTTTAACATCTCTGCTAGATGTGTGCTAAGGAATCATTGCGATTCTGCTTAAAAAGATGGATTTCATTTTTTTTAATGGAAATAAAGAGATATTTCAGATGTTTGTTTATGCTTAAAGTTTCCTTAAAAAAATGATAGCAAAGTCATAAATTTGATAGAGTTGTCTACTTTGTACTAGTCTTTTCTTGAAAGGCTGTTTTAGCTAAGAAAGTCAGCCTGAGGGGTAGCACTAATAGGAAAAATTTTGGCTTGAATAATTGACTTCTGCAGAGTGATAATTTTTTTAATATAGAATGAGAGGGTTTTATACTTAGTCACATCAAGTGACTGTAAATATATGTGACAGTCAGATTAACCTACAATACTAACACTAAAATAGAAAAAAATAGATAAACTCCTGCTGTTTGGATAACTGTATATGGGCAGAGAATGATGCTCGCTTCCAGTAACAGCTTAATCCTGTCCTACCCTGAAGCAACCTGTGGCAGAAGTCTCTGTCATTATCAAGATAAGAGAAAGAGAATAAAATACTATAAAACTGAGTGATTATTAAATCTCACTCATTACCCTTCAGAAAGAAGCAATTCAGGCAGTTAATATACTACCAATTACCTTGGCTTCTTATCCTGAGGATGGCTGCAATTGCTGAAACATAAAAAGTAAGCAATCAAAAATGTTAATTTTTAGAAGAATGTTCTAATGCTGTTATATATTTAAAGGATGGATTTAATTTATTATTAAGCTGCCCATTGTGAATAATAGTGAATGAAATTAATATAGTAGGCATTAAAACAAATTAATATATCTGGTGGCAATTTTATGTTGCCATGGTCATAAAGGTAGAATTCGCAAAATGCAAGTCTACAGTGAAAAAGTGCCACAGAGATACTATACTATATATGTTGTCTACCAAAAGCAGGGTAGTATGCTCTTGTAGAGGAGATGAATTGTATTTTAGAAACATTTTTTTTACCAGGAGATATTTATTCATACAGAGAAAAAAGTGGATGAGGCATAGTTTAAAGCTTTACTGACATAGATTTGTGTAACCTGTAAATGATATAATAAGTCTGGGAAGGTACAAACAAGATGAAGGTAGCAAGGCAGTACGAAAGAGCTTAAAGATTAGTTCTGAGTCTCTAAGCCCCTCAGGTTTAGATCACCAGAAAGGGTGATTAGCATTGTCATTGACATTATCATTGTCAATGATAATGAGGGCTACATCATCCTTTCTTTCCAAAGGATCCCAAATGCATTGGGAGTTGCAGTGTGGCTTCTGCACATGCTTTTGCAAAAAAAAAAAAAAATAGGCAGTGCTCAAATGGAAATCAAGGAGCTCCTGAATTTTAGAGGGGGCCTCCAACTCCAACTGCAGCTCTTCTAGAGAGAGTGGAAATACAGCAGCACAGCAACTCCTGCCACACAGGCAGCCCCTCTGCATCTCCCTGCAGCTGGGTGTGACAGCAAGCAGGTGAAACGTGGAGCTGATGCCTTCTGGGAGGCATGTACTGCTGGGCCAATAGCTGTGGGGAGCTCTTCCACAGCATCCAGAAGCACAGTGATTTTACAGTATCTGCTATCAAGGAAAGAAACAACATTTAGGGAATGCAAGCCATATCCTCATGTAATAGATGAGTTCTGGCACTAAATTTCACATTAAATCTTATTTATGTTTAATTTTTATT